AGATTTTTCTAATTGTAAGAAAAATAGTTTTTTTAGGTATGATGGACAGAGTGAGTCTCTAAATTATGGTAAATTGTTTAGTTAGTTTATATTCAATAAAAAATCGGTTAAAATTTTGAAACACCTGTCCCAAAAATTGTTGTCAGTCAAGTGGCAAGATTACTAGATAATAACTTGTAAAAAAAAATATGCCTCAATTATGCTATCATTAAATTATTTTAAATAGTAAGTGTCCAATACAAGTGTAAACCAGTTGGAAATATAATGAAGAAAGGATGTTTTAAAAAAATATTTTTACTAAAATTCTGACGTGTTTGGGACTAATTGTGAATATTTTGCACATTTATTGTTTTGTTAGAGATTGGAAATACTATCTAGATAAAAGATGTTTGTGTTGTACAGCATTTTGGGTTTATTTCTTTTATGCATAGTTCTATCCTTAAAAATTGTTAAAAATCATTCTTCGCAGATTCCTCATTTGTATAAATTTTCTCCAAAATGTAGTACAGTCGGGTTAAAAATATTGGGTTTTTGAAGTATTAATGTGGTCAGTGAGCATAGTTTTAAATAGTCGTGGATTTTTTAAAACCATTTTTCTGTTGTTGTCATCGCCTTATAAAATTCTGGCTCGTTTCTCCTATATAAACTAGATTGCAATCTAGGCAGTTGATTTGATAGAGGAGATTTCTAAGACGTTCGATTCAGACTTCAAATACAAATATATGAGAAATATGTCCCCATTTCTTTGCATATTTCTGAATCCTGCACATTTGTCTTTTGCATAAATTATCTTCAAAATTTAGTACAGTCGGTTGAAAAATATTGGGTTTTGAAGTATTAATGTGGTCAGTGAGCATAGTTTTAAATTGTCGTGGATTTTTTAAAACAATTTTTCTGTTGTTGTCATCGCTTCATAAAATTCTGGCTCTGGCGTTTCTCCTATATAAACTAAATTGCAATCCAGACAGTTGATTTGATAGAGTAAGTTGTTCGATTCAGACTTTTTCAGAATTATAATATATATATAATATATATATATATATATATATAAATAAATAAAAAAAAATCTGTCCTCATTTTCTATGCACATTTCTGAATCCTTGCTCATAGTTCTCAGACAGAGATTTCTCAGACCACTAACTTATTCTTCGAAAATGTATTTTACCTTGTTATTTGTTGTTGATAAATATGGTCGCATACATCAAAATATTTCAACACAACTCCTTCTATGAAATCATTGAAAACAAACTGTTTTGTCGTGTACGTGAAGTCCATATAACCATATATGATTTTGTTTCATAACAAAGGAAAACGTGATGAATGCTCCTTAATAGACCATGAATAGAACCCGAAGGCAGGATTATAGATATTTAGATTTTAGATACACAAATGCAATTTTCATACAATGGTGAAATGTTTTAAGTAGTCTGGAAGATATCAGTTCCCATATGATAAAAATTATATTTAAGTCGGGAAGATCTAGGTCAATGTCGATTTTTACCCAGGATTTGGATCATCAAAAATACATAAGAATTGGTTGTATTTTTATATATAACTAGCAAACCCGACGAACTCCGTTTCGCCACCAGATGGTTTCGTGAGAAAGATGAAGAAATTTTTTGTTTGTTTTATATTTGAAAAGGAAAAATTTGATTTCATTGCACAACAGTAATGAATTTATTTCGATTACAAAAATGAAGTGTTTTTTAGTTGAACTCTCTTAAGTAAATGAAAGTGAATCCGCAAATATCCGTTTCATTAAGTGCTATTTGGTAAACCACATTTTTTGTTTTTGGTCTGAAGTTAACACAAACAAAGCGGATGGTTTTCCAACTCGTGAACAGGCAACGTATAACTACCCGTGTGAAAAACGATGATTTTCTGAATATTCTATTTGAAATTTATCCCGCAAACACTAAGCGATTGTCCTTTCGACTTGTTAATTGTCATTGCGAACGCAAGGCGAACTGGAAATTGCAATCGTTTGAAGTCAAACGGAAGACCAGTCGGAATCATTGGTATGTCACCAAATCGCCAGCAATTTTTGATTGAATGGTGAAATTCAGTGCGTGTACATCATTATTCTTGCGGCAAAAATTGCTCGTTGACTTAGCCAAGCATAATTCTGATAATTCTCACTAATGTCATTACTCGAATTTTTAATTACGGTGCATGAAGTTTCAGCAATTTGCATTAGGGCACGATGCATGCACCACTAATTTTTCTTAGCTATAAACCTTGCGGAGCCCGAGACCTTCCAAAGAATGCAAAATTGTAGAAATCGATTCGTGTGTTCTGGGGTTGTATCGTCAGGAAGGAAAACCAGACTTATTTTTATATATATGTAGATATACAATTATATCACAATCTTATATATCCAATACAATTCAAAATATCTCTGTCTAGTGTATGCTTATTGGTGACCTTACTAAAATTTCCTTCAATTGCTCTGCATCATTGATGGCCTAGAATTATTCTGTTGGATCCTCTTAATGGCATTTTAGCGCAATATAGTACATAATATATACAATGAATGAATGAATGAAATAACATGACACAATGAAAGATTGTTTGAGTCGACTTTGTAAGTAGTTGGCTGATGTCAGATTAGCAAAACGAGAAGATTTGATTTATATCGCCGCACTAGTATTAATTTAGATGCGATAGTAGAATTTCATAGAGATCAAGTTATAATACAAATTGTAAGAATACAAAGAATAATATAATGAGTTTGATTTGATAAGGACCTTACAATTGGTTTATGGTAAGAACTAGATCAAGTTCCACCAACTAGTGTCGCATTCGATATCTAACTTCAGACAGCCTGATATCAAGCAGTAGTTTTTACTTAAGATTTGGATTCTAAAATGATCAAATGATGAATTATCATCAAAAGACTTTGCTGCAAAAAATTACTAAGTGCACAAAACAAAAAAAATAAACACAAAAAACACAAATAGACAAACTGGTTTGGGTTGCCCTCAAATGACCATAGGTTAAATTAACGAAACTATTAATGAAAGTCTTAAATCAATTATAAAAAAAGTAGTAAAATTTTTTTTTATATTATATTGTATTACGACAATAAAATTGAATATACTAGTAAGGCCAATTCTTATTTTTGGTAAAATAAATTTTTATTCAAATGTATGTATATTTGTGCTTTATTTAACTTTTTTCGGTTGTAACAATTGCATGAAATAATTCACTTCATCAATATGAAAACAACATATTAATTTAGGTGTTTTACAAGTATATCGACTTTTGTAGGACCTTATAATGTTAGAAACAATTGCAGATTATTCAATTTTGTTACATTCCTGAAACATCTTAGTTACAATTTTATAAATTATTTAACTAGAAATTAGTACTTAGGACATTCACAATCCTCCAAAATTAAAGAGTTTATTTAATCAAATCACTTTTCATTAATTTTTTTAATTGATTTTGTTCAGATTTATATACATATTTATTAAAAATTTCAAGCAAAATTTAATACTTTTATCATAAGAATTTTGGTCAATATTAGATAATTGTATTTTATCTTTTGTTTTTAGTAAAACCAGCAAATAATTATTACATTTTTATTTGAAAATATATCATCAGTATACGAAAAATTTTCAAAATAAAAAAAGGCAAAATTGGATGAGTTAACCTTTTAAATAGAGATCAGAACTGTTCATTTGTGATTGCTTTTCGAAAATTTGAAAAAAAAATATATAAAAATAAGTCTTTGTACAGATTTTTCTCCAGTAAAAAATTTGCTTAAGCACTTCAAAATAATAATCAACTAAGTTGATACAAACGTTTTTTGAAATTACTGAATTTTTTACACAAAATGAAATGAACCAGTTCCAAAAATGCAAAACCAAGCCATTTTATTTACATACCAGAATTATTTAATAATAGACCTTAATCTTTATTTTTTGGAAATAGATTTGTTTTAAATTTTAATAAAAATCAATAAATATAGAGAAAATTGTTGTCGAATAGCAAAATAATATAAGAATCTCATACAGAAGCTAATAAAGTAAATCTTATGAGAAAATAATGAAAAAAAAATCTAATAAATAATGGGAAAAAAAGCATTTTTGAAGATTAAAATACGTTTGGATCTACATTGCAAATAGAAAAAAAAGTACAAAGACATCATTTTAAAGGCTCCTTAAATATCTAACAATATAGTTGGTGAATTCAAAAAATCCTTCAAAAATCGATCACATGATCAATTGCATCCACCTTGCGCCATTCTTGTTGCATCAAAGTAGCAATTTATGTTTAGAAATGTTTAAAATTTATTGACTATTATATTTTTCCTCTGAACCGTGATAAAAGTCACACCTACAAAAATATTGATATCATTCGATACACATTTAACAATAAGATTTTCCGTCACTTAGTCATTTCGTATATGCGCAATTTCCGAACATAAAACTAGTATCATGTACTCTATGATGCAATGTTTTTTTATTGTCTCCATATAAATATATCGGGTTACCTAGCTCGTATCTTGAATCATTACACACTAGCACGAAATCTAATGGAAATTATAATGTGGGAGTTGTAATGATTATGACAATATAATAAATTATTAACTCCCAACATAAAAAATATATCAAATTTATTGACTATAAAAATATTTCGATATCAAAAATATACATGACATGTCCAATTGTTTTTACAAATTAAAACAAGCCTGCTTGATATCGCCACAATAATACATCTACATAGAAAATATATGAAGTTTACTCATACATTTATTTACACGTGTGTTTTTCTACTAAAGCTCTAATGTCGACGATGGTTAGCCAAGGTCGAAGAGGGAATCATTATTTTCTTTACAAGATGATTATATTTATATGTGATATAATGGATAGATGGTTGGCTGGATGGGACACACCTTTTGTTGATCATCATTTGTAATTTAGACACTTTGCCGACAAATTTGTGGAAGAAATGTAAAGAAATTAAGGTGATCAGTCAGTCAATTAGGAATGCTTACCTTTAGAAAAATTAATTAATTATGGCTATATATATAGATTAGGGTGGATTTTTGTTTGCTCCCAGGGGTTCAAATGCTTCCAAATTGATAAAAGAAAATTATCTAAAAGTTTTAGCTCTTAATATTAACTTTGAGACAGTCCGCAGTCCAACCAAAGTTTCTTGGTTTTTCTTCCTAAGTAATTACTTATTTGATAAAAACATATAAAATTTTTGTTGTAAATTTTTATTCACGATCAAAATCAGTAAATACAATGTTATTCTAAAAATTTTGATTTACTTGTCGCTAAGTTATAAAATTGCAAAAAACAAATGGCATTTTACCCATAAGAAACTTTTGTTTGGAGTGCGGACTATCTTAAAGTTAATATTAAGACTTAAAATTTTGAGAGATTTTTTTTTATTATTTTGGAAGCATCTGAGCCCTTGGAAGCAAAAAAATACAAAAATATCCATATGAAGGACCACCCAAATATATATAGTGCGTTGCCACTGAACTGCTCCCAAACGGCTATTCGAATTTTGATAAATCTTTTTAAAGTTTGTCAAAGAAACTGTAATAGTGGTATTGAACTAAAACTATGTAGTAACCATGGAGATAATAGTGAAACTTGTAGTGCATGGCATCGTGCCTCAAGACAAATTGCTGAAATTTTCCGTACCAAAAATTAAAATTTTTAAAAAAGATTCAATTTTTTTCTGAAAAAAATCGATTTTTGAGTTTTTTTAAATTTTTGAAACTAGTGGGGCGCATGGCATCGTGCCTTAAGGCAAATTGCTGGAACTTCCCGTACCAATTTTTTTTTTAAAAAAGATTAACATTTTTGAAAAAAATTACTTTGAAAAATTAGATTTTTGAGAAACTATAAATTTAAAAAAAAAATATTTTTTTGGAAAAAAGACTTTTTGAAAAAATATGTTTTCATTATTTTGAAATAATTTGGAAGTTCTGATTTTTTTTTAAAGCAATAGTACTGCTTTAACTGCATAGAGATGAAATATGGAAGCGCGTAAGCGCCGCATCGGCGTCTAATGGATAAACATTGATACGGAACCCATAGGAATGTAAACAAAATCTATACTTATTGTTAAAATTTCAATGAAACATCTGATAATTTGATGTGCATATGTCTAATGATCATTTTTGACCGCCAAATGGCTTTTTTGTCACTTTTTTTACTAGATCTCCGAAACCGCTAGACCTGCCTTCATGAAAATTTGATCAGTTCTTCATCTTGTCAATACAAATAAAATGTTTTTTGAATCACCTAATCGGACACTCAGTTCTCTCAAAAATTGGCCACTTTTGGCACTTGTCTCCGAAACGGCTCGACCTGTCTTTGCCAATAACTAATCAGCATGTCTCCTTATCAATAGGAATCGAATGTTTTTGGAATTATACAAATCGGTTGACCCTTGTTCCTGAAATCGTCGACGAAAATTTGTATCCGCACACACACACGCACACACATACACACACGTACATACACACACACATACATCAATTTTTGTAAAGATATATAAAATTTTTTATTTTCCATTTTTTAGCGATTACTATAACTTACCCTACGGCAAGTAAAAATATTATTGTTGATAGTTGAGATGAGAACTCTCTAAATTGTACGTTAAATGCGCGTTATAGGAGGGTCGAATGTGTATCCATATTATATAACAGCTAGAATGCGTCATTGATTTTATTACAGAGTGAACACATAATATATATAACGTGACACATGGTTAATAAATCAGGAAATGGTAATCTAATTAGAAAGGCTGAACATATTAATCAAAGTGATAATAATCTTTTATCCACTGACACGAAACGAATTAAAAACCTAAATGTTGAACATTGGGGTAGATTTAGCTATCTAGATCAATAGTAAAATAGAATTTCATTTTATAATGTGAAAGACAGTCTCAGGGGAGAAATTGCCTTGAAAAGTTTTTCAAAAATTGTCGAATAAAAATAAATAATTCGCTCTCGATTAAATCATTTCCATACGGGTCGATTGTGATTAGTCGTTATGTATGTGAATAGTGATCTGTCGTTGTATGCGTACCAGATATCAACAAGGAAATCGGCATAGATAAATACACATTTTAAAGTTACATCGTGGTACAAATCATGATTTAATGAAAAATGCCTGAATCTAGAATATTTTCTCCCGTTTGTAATAATAAAACATTTCTGCCGTGTACTAAACGTAAGTTTATTAATTAGAAATTATTTCTATATTATTCGTAGTTTCTATAAATCTTTCAAGTTATTAAAATAGAAAATATTTTATAGGCAAGACATATATTACAGCTGTTCAAAGAATGAGATATCGCCAGCTAAAAAGTAAAAAAAATACAAGCAGTCAATGAATGTATGTTAATTTTAATTACATGAAGTTCTTCAAACACAATTATTACATGATGACTGAAGTTGCGAAAACAATATTTGTTTTGCCGTTGTTTAATATAATCCACACTGTGTGAACGAATATTATAGAATTTATTAATCAGCAATTACTTCATTTGGTCTTAATGAAGATACTAAACCCTAAATTAAAATCCTACGGAAACTGGTTCAAATATAAAAATTGTTAATTTTTGAAAATTTGATTTTAGAAAATACTCCGAGTTAACGTGTTCGTTCGTTTTCAACTATGTGTAATAAATCCACTCGGAATACTTTTATTCGCTCATAAATTAATTTATTTATTATTGATCAAGTCGATTATATACACATATCGGGAAGTTCATGTAACTTGCCTCAAGGCAAAATATCAATACCAACTAGTTTCCTAATTGAAACATATCCAATAAATTTTCTGAGGGAGGTGTTGTCCATGATGCATGTTGTATTATATATTATTTTAATGGTCGAGAAATAGCCTGTTTATTTATACGGCTGTAAAATACATCAATAGTGTTTTATGTAACAGTTTCGCAGTTTCCGACACGTCAAAATGCAAATATAGTTATTTTTAGACAATGACGATCGAAACGAACACTAAAATATCAATTTATATATATATATATATATATATATATATATATATATATATATATATATATATATTTGCATATATTGAGCACAAACCAAAGCCAAGAAACGACATACATTATTGGCTTTTAAATCAAATAAATATATTTGTATGGAGGAGGATGAAACGGTATAAAGATCCGTATGCAAATTTTAAATGTAAATAAATAATGTTGTAATCATCATGTGTTTAAATATACACACACATACTAAAGATATGAGTGTTGTCCATTTTAAGAAAACAACAGAAGTTTTTGAAGTACTATTGAAAATTCCCATACATTTCATCAATATAATATGAATGTTAGAAGTTTGTATAGCCATTAATTGTTTACTAAAGACCTCATTAATTTTTTTTCTGATACAAAATTTCGATTCTATATATTATATATACACACCTAACGTAATAATGATTATGTTATATATACACACATAACGTAATAATGATTTATTTATCGGTCCTAGAACTCATCCCTGAGGCACTCCAGCTTCTATGTTGCGGAAAGAAAATCTTTAATACCGATTTTCGTTCAAATTTGTTAAATGTGTCGATTGGATTTGATAAATTTATAACAATCTGGTATTTAAAAAAATTGTTATATCTAGTTTCTGCTAAACCAACTAAAAAGAGTGCCCTCATAGAAAGTTTCTGAGTTATTTGGCAAAAAGTAATAAATATGCCGAATTTTCTATTTATTGCTAGAGAATGAAAAATTGAATGCAAAGTAGTTTTATCCAAAAGTTTTATATAGGACTGTTTATAAGTGTTTATAAGGATTTGTAGTGAATTTCATCCAGTTTCATCGTATCCAACTAAAAAAGGGTGCTTTTCATATAAAATTTGTGAGTTATTTGACAAAAACCTAAAAAATGTCCCGAATTTTCTATTTATTGCTAAAAAATAAAATATCAAATTCAAAGTCGTTTTATTAAAAATATTTCTATCGGACCAAGTGCAACTGTTGGCATGGAATTGTCAATGTCAATGTCAATTGTTTGAACATGTAGTAAATTGTCTGAAAGTGTTGTATGTTAATGACCAAAAAAATGTAAAAATATCATACAATTTTCAAAATTTGAAATTCAACTATTACTACACGTCCCTGAACGAAATAATGAATATCAAATTACAGTAATTTATAATTAAATTAATTTTTTGCTAATTGTATTGAACATTTGCCAGGGCTATGTTAATTATTATTTGCCATTTGCAATATTTCATACAGTCATTATAATCGTATGCGAAAAAAAAAAGTTTCAAGGTTTTTAAACGTAGGTGCATGGCTCTAGCACCGATATGCTAATTAGTGGATTCATTTACAAAATACATATAGAAATAGACGAAGAGCTGGTGGTAATAATAATTGACAGATCAGAATAATACACCGATTTATATTATTTACTAAATATTGTATGTGAGGTCTGAAGTTTATTAATTATATAGCTTGATATCAAGCTGACCGAAGTTGGGATAGAACTCGAAACCAGAGTCTTTCTTCTAACAAACCATAAAAATTAGATAAAAATTGATATATTCTTAAGTATTTCAAATGTTTCTTAGATTTTTTCATAAAATCTTATAAAGATGAGTTTATCTATGTTGTGGTGGATGTATTATATAAAAAGTTCTCAGCAACTTTGTTGCTCTTGATAAATTTATCAGCGCATATCTTCATTATTGGAGTCGTCGGAGCGTTAAACATGAAAATCACATCACATCATGTGTATTATGCTAAATATACAATGTATATAATATTAATCTCATATTTATAATCAGAGTTTGAAAACAGTACAGGAATTAATAAAAGTGGATGGAAAGTTCATGCAATTTTGGTTAAGGCAAAGTGCCACTTACCACTTAGTCACTCCTTATGTCATTATTATTAA